ATTGAAGAAGCACACCAGCCTGTGCGATCACAAGGTATTGACAGGATCAGGCATCAGCCATCAGAAGACCCAAAACAAAGAATCACATCGATGTGAATGAGGGGGGCTGGAGTGGAGACCCAAAGCCCATCTGTAGACAATTGGACATCCCCTTACAGAAGGGTCACAAGGAAGAGACCAGCCAGCCAGGGTGCAGTATATCACTGACGAAACATCATACAATATTCCTCTAGTTCTTTAATGCCCCCCTGCCCCCACACACTATGATGATCACAGTTCTACCTTACAAATCCAGCTATACCAGAGCAGGTACACTGGTACAGATAAGAGTGCTCAACACAGGGAATCCAGGGGAGGAAAGGGGGAACCGATTGCAATGGTCGACGCATAACACACCCAAGGTGATGAACAACAGAAACATGGGTGAAGGGAAACAGCGGATGGTGTAAGATATGAAAACAATAATAATTTATAATTTATCAAGGTTCATGAGGGTGGAAGGGTAGGGGAGAGAGGAGGGAAAAGAGGATCTGATACAAGGGCTCAAGTAGAAAGAAAATATTTTGAAAAGGATGATGGCAACATATGTACAAAAGAGCTTGACACAATGGATGGATGAATTGTTACAAGAGCTGTAAGAGCCCCCAATAAAATGAATTGTTAAAATCGAAAAGAAAGAGTTGCAGTCTAGGGAACTCGCAGGGGCAGTTCTACCCTGTCCTTTAGGGTGGACACGGGTTGATGGTAGTGAGGCAGTGAGAGAGAGAGACCACAGGCCAGCGTGGGTGAAATACTGGAATACCTTCTTTTAAAGGATTCCAAATTCACTGCCTTTGAGGAGGTTTTGACTCATAGAGACCCCTAGAGGACAGAGTAGAACTGTCCCTGTGGGTTGCTAAGGCTATTAAGTCTTGATGAAGCCAGAAACCCCCATCTTCTGCTCACGGACCAGCTCGTGGGTTGAAACTGTTGACTTTGCACTCCGCTGCCGAACATGCCACCCACGCCACCACCAGGACTCCGGAAACACTCTGTGCTGGAGCTCACAGAGAGAGTCCTGGTGGCAGAGAGGTGGTGCATTGGACCATTAGCCACAAGCTTAGTGGTTCAGAACCACCAGCCTGCCCCTTGGGAGATAAGACAAGGCTCTCTGTAGAGAGTGGTTACAATCTCGGACACCCGTAGGGGCAGGTCTGCCCTGCCAGGTGGGGTGGCTATGAGTCAGCACCGACTCGATGGCAATGAGTTTGGT